ACCAGTAGGGCAGTGTCCGCGAAGAGAGGCGCATTGGGCTTGTTGACGAAGGCCGAAGGCACCTCCCGATCAGCAAGTGTTTTCTGGGAAAATACGGGTGAGAGATGATAAACAGGAAGGCAAGGCTGGATTAAGGCAGAAGACTAGTTGTGCTAGGCTTGTTGAGAGGGAATCAAAGGGCTCAAATCTCGATAGTCGAGTTCTTTCTGGGAAGATACAGTTGGGAGGTGGTGATCAGATAGATAAGACAAGACTTCAGATTCAATGAAGGACGGGTTTGAGCCTGTGGTAGAGCCGTCGAAGAATTATCATCGACATGAAACCAAATCAAGAACCACCACTATAAAAGCTGTAAGTTATGGCGGCTTGCGGATGATAATTGGGAGATACGTCTCTAAAACCATCAAAACTCCCATTTTTGAACACTCTTTTCCTAAAAGGTTGCTGTGTTCCCCATAATATGCTACAGCTTCCGCACAAAATGAACACGCCGCACTTTTCAAATGTCGTGAGCATTACCTTTCTGCCAAGTGTTAGTAACTTTTGAACATGGAGAAAAATTTTCAAACATTTCTCTTCACAGGAACATTGTTGTAACTTGAAACCTACCAGCTTCTCTGAGTAATCTCACAGCATTAGCGATTCTCATATACACATCTCTTCTGAGATTAAAACCTTCACCATGATTCACATCATATATCAAATATCGTTTATCACGAGCCAGCGAATACTTATCGCTGTTCACCACGGACACAGTACTCCTATCACAAGAAGTATAATCTGAGTATATCAATAGAATCCATATCAATAAACCTAACATCTACGCCTGCAAAAAGAGCTTCTAAAATATGTCACTGACGTCGTTAGTTACAAGATCAGAAAGAATTGAAGAAGTATGAGAGAAAATACTCAGTACTTAAAGCATATGCATATTCCACCGGTAAAACTTCATACAGGACTAGTGAAAATAAAGAATCACGACATGAGGAAAGAATTCACAATACCGAATCCACAAGCTAAAAAGTAAAACCACACTAGCAATAAAAGCTTCAAAAAATAAAAGCGCGCAGGTAGAATATTGCATTTAAAACTTAAAGTACAATCGTAAAGCTTCGCAAAAGCTCAGCAATGTTAACTATGCTAACTATATACATGATAGAAGTTCTACTCGTTACCTCGTCAACTGTTATAACCACATAGAAACAGCTAAATACATGCAACAGAGCGATATGATTCAGAAGGAGAAACAATTGGTTTTGGTCCTCTCATTTCTTTGAAATAAACTTTGGTGCAGACGGTCTCAGATGTTTCGAAATTGACCCTGTGGTTGATCGTGGGAGAGTATTACTTCCAGGAGAAGCACTGCGCGGCTCTTCACGCTAAAATCGAGTTGAAAATTCACACATTCACGTTATATAATACGAAACAAACAGGAAAAAGAAAACAAACCTGGCTTTGAGTCATCAGTGATGGCAACCCTGTTAGCGTATTATAGTGCTCAAACGGGGCCTCACCATGCTCCACCTCAAGATACGAAACAGCTGAAAAAATTCTCAGTTAGAAACTCTATATTTAACCTCTACATTTCCCGAATGCCTCCTATCGGCACCATAAGATCTCGAAACCGAAGCTCTAAAACCGAGAGACTGCGTAAGTGACTGTCAGAGACTCAAATGAGAAAAAGAAATAAGTCAACAATTAAAATATTTCCACTTTTCCTAATGCGAAAAACTCACATTTCGACATCACGCGATTACTGGCTCCATACATTTCACTGGCAACCTTTATTTTATGGATCCACCTGAAATAAAAATATTCTCCGCAGTTCCTGTTTTGTTGCGATAACAGCTGCTTTTCGCTGCAACTCCTATGTGAAAGTTTTCGCAAAGTTTCCGAGTTGTGGAAGGAAATCTGTCCCTGCTTGGAAACCCGGCTCTCCAGGGTCATGTAAAGGGTGTATTATTTCTCATCAACTTTAAGCCAACTTTCCACAGTGCCCTTTACCAATCCAATAAACTCACATTCGCATATCGTTCTGGTTATAACATGAGAAATGATGCTCAATCGGTGGTCTTGATAGGCGAAAAACACTAAACAAAAATGTTAAACACCGAAAATGCGACAGAAGAGTTCATAAGCGTACAATTTCTTCGATGTTTTTAGATCGGTCTCGTCAGAAACGGTGCACTTGGCAATGTTAATGATCATATCGGCGTGACGAGTCTGAATATCAAAGATCATCCTGGATAACCCCATGCAGCAAAAGTGTAATCATAGGATTTCTATGGAACGTACAAATTGCGTTGGATAAATGCAAAGGAAAGGTCCACGCAAGCACATCCAACATTTTGGCCACTTGTTGGTTACTTCCCTAGCATATAATTCTTTGGCGGTTTTCCTGAAATTTAACATCACAAGCAGAGGTTTCGAATCATGGGATAGCATGGTGTCGTATGAAGCGCTCTAACAGTAAGAGAAGCCCAAGAAACAGACCTTCTTCTTATCCAACCTTCAAATGTCTTTTCAGCTGTTTTCATATCGGGAGTGCTTGGTGTTGGAGGAGTGTCCTCAGCATTCCACTCGCGCGTAGGTGTGAGACGAAATGGTGTAGGGCTTGACATGGAAGGTATAGAAGAAAGTGACGCTGGGCTCGGCAAGATCCATGGATCATCACTACCAGATATAGAAGCAAATCTGAACCAACGTACACTTCAGCCCTGAACGACTGATAATTAAATTCTTGGAAAACAGGTATCTACCTTGGAGAGTCCAAGTGTCAAGCCTGAAAGGTTGGAATCACCGGCAGGTGCACGGAATCTTTGCAGTGATGCTTCTTCATACGGTGCACTCCAGTCAGGATCAGAGCAACTGGGTTCCACTATGTTGAGTTGGCTCAATTCCGGAGGTTCAACAACAGAGACTTCGGCAAACTCCGCAGGACCTGGAAATTTGAAAAGCCTTCAAATTAACTCTTGAACAAGTAGTGATCATCTACAAACAACCGTAACATAGTTCAGTCCGATGAAAGTGTTCTCAATTGTAATAAACCGTTCTGGGAATTTAGAATAAATAGCTACTTACATCCTACATTGAAGGGCAATTGTTCGGCAATAATGTCGTCATCCACTTCTTGCACAAGTTTGTTATCTATGAAGGACCGCACATAACCATCTGGTTGATGTCTCATAGTACGAGCACGACGGACTATTCGAGGAATGGCAATTGGTCCTTCATGGTTGTCAGGTGAAGGATGACTGAAATGCTGAGGATACTGACAAACCGCAAAAGTCTCGCAAGTTAGATAAACTTTAATCTTCTTCATTAAACCCCGCCCTTCCCAAGTTTCTCAGCCTTATAGCATCACAACTAATCAGGACTTACCCAATCAAGTCTAGGATGTCCCAGCTCACATAATCACGTTCATCCTCCTCGAAGAAAAACTCTCTACGCGGACTCCCGGCACAGAAAGATGAACGCCTGGTGGCGCGGAGTCTCTTCCTGTGAAAAAGGAAAAATCGTATCGTTGGAAGTATTGTAAATCGATCCCAAGTCACCAGACATACGATTAACGAACTGACCCCCTCATCTCCATCAAATTCACCAAATCGCCAAGAAATGTCGACGATCGACGACGATTGAGAGGATATGCGATTTCCTTAACACAAGACGTCAACCACGGAGAAAAAGCAAAGGGACTGCTTTTTACAAGAACATAATTTATAAGTATAACAGAAAAGCCCCTAACCTTGAATAGATGTTTTCCCTTCTCAGCAGTGTCAGAAGCTTGACTTCCAGGGATCATCTTGGCCAGTGGACGATTGGGTTTCACTGCTTTCTTCAGTGGAAGTGGAACTGAGTGGCGAGGTCTTTTATTGACAACTAGGTGCAACTCGGTATCCGTGGAGGAACCAAGACGTTGAGCAACGCGAGTCAGGTCCCATCCAATAACCTTAAAAATTAAAATAAGTTAGCAGTATTACTCGAAACCGCTGAGTACAGGCTATTTGCCGATGAAGATATCTTCCCTTATAAAACGGGTATGCGACAAGACAATCGCAATTCTCAGCGCATGCGTGCGTCGCGAACAACATCGCGTCTCCAGAAGAGAATTAATCTGGGTGCATGGCGGCAATAGACTATATGACCAAAAATAGCGATAAATATTTAGAATGTTATGGTCTTCTCGAAATTAGGGGACCCAATAGACAGGCAAATTAAGAAAACGCCATGCCCACCGCCGCGCGCGACAGGCGGAAAATTACGATTGTCTTGAACGCCGCCCAAAAAATCCAACTATACTTACTGTTTTGCCATTGATGAGCATAATTTCATCCCCAGCATCGATTCTACCGCACAGGTCCGCAGGAGATCCTACTTTTACCTCACTGATCACGTGTACTCCACGATAGGACGATTGCAGATTGATTCCCTAAAAATGTTAGAAGCATAGGACTTCGGGCTTGTTTGCAGCCGACACTGTTACGACAGCGCTTCATACATGGGTGGGAAGAAGCCGTGAGACCGCAAAATCCACGACGCAGGATAATGCGCGCAAGGAATGCACAATTATCCGTCTGGGGAATGTGCAATCTCAGAGAGCGCGCGATTTCCAGACGGATAATTGTACATTCCTTGCGCGCATTGTCCTGAGTCGTGGATTTCCCGGTCTCACGGGTTCTTCCCACCCAAGTACGAAGCGCTGCCGTAAAGTCCTCAGACGGATAATTGCAATTTCAGGTAATCTTCCACAGACGGTTAGATGGAGGACTTCGTTCACTAGCCTTTTCGAAAAAGTCGCGAAACTGAAAAGCGTACGATGCGGGGTATAAGGGATCAGATAGTGGGCAGTGACTCCCAACTCAGTTCTGGACGTTTCCTAAACGGCGGGTTCCCCCATCCGCAATGTATGAACACATCTTTTTTGTGATAAACTTACCCAATTTGTACTGACATCATGTCTACGAAGTAGAGCTCGTTCAGTATAGGCAGTATATAACACTAGAGGATCATCATTGTCTCGTACAATGCTTTCACATTGTTCCTTGAGGTTGTTAATTTTCTTAAAAAGCAGAATACAACTGGAGGAAATGTGCAAAAACGAAAAAAGGGACGGAAATACCAAAAATTCGCAATCGGTTTGGATTCACAGCAAACCTGAATTATTTCTGGTGCAACTCCAAACAAGGACTTTGGTTGAACGTTCACACTACGTACTAAATCCCAGATAGTCACAGCTATACGATTTCTAATTTCAATGTAATGCTTGATATCGTCGAATGGGCTTCTGAAAAAAGCGAACAATTTATAATCCCTATACAAAGGGCAAGTATTGAACAGGGAAATGATAGTAAATGTGCACTCCTGCTTAAATCAATGAAAATCACCTGTCCAACCAAAATACCAGCTTCTTCACGTTTTCTACCAGCACAGACGTCATGAGAGAAATACTGTTCAAAATGGAAACAACGTGATCTCTCGTTAACGGCTAAAATAAGCAGTTTTTCGTAAATGCGAGTATTATGACTCCCAGGAAACGTTCCACACAAGAAGCACCTTTTCATGGCGGCAATGCACTGCTTTTTCCAACTCATGGATAACGGATTTGCAAGCCACAACAACCTTCATTGAATGACTCTGCAGATTCTCGGAGGGAGCCTCAGTGCACTAAACAATTTCATTATTGCAATATATTATTGTAAACGTTGCGCGACAACGTAGGAAAATGTGGAAGTATTTGGAAATACCACTGAAATAAGGATTTTTGGTCAATTTATCTGTTTATTCATTTATTACCCACAAAGGAGGTGCAATAAATCAAGGAGGTAAAAAATCGAAAAAACCCACACTTTAACTAAAAGACTGATCTTCCGAGGTGTCTAGCTGAAACGAAGTGAAACCCTCCCCGGCTGGGAGCCTACAATCATTTATATGAAACGTGTATGGGGCTGTAGTTAGACAAACCAGCCTTTATGAGACTCTGGGAACGGTTAACTGGAAATGAATTCCTCTGAGCGATGAACGCAGTGAATACGTCATGAATTGGTTCATTAGGTTCACTGGATGGAGTAAGGACAAACAGTCAAGCACAATTCCGAGTTACACTCGTTGCACGCACAAAATAATTGATCTTCACCAGTTGGCTACATATGCGGCATTTGCAAGGCACCTAGGCTGACCCAAGGCTTAAGTCCAGCTCTATTACTCCTTTCTTATATTTGGAAGTGAGCGAACATTATTGTTTGAATATTAATCACAAAATAAGAAAATTTTCCAGTTATTACTCACGAAATAAAGCAGCAGTTGTATAGCTTGAAGAACAGTTTTTCGTGGGCCAAGGGCTGTGATTCCAATATTAGCCAACATTTCGTCATCAATAAGATGAAGATACTTTCCACTTCTGATATTATCACGTATCGTTCCAAGATATGGATTCATTGCATCACCCAGGCCTAAAGTTAGCGAATTAAAGAATCAAGGAATTTCAATTATTACTGTCAAAAGGCAACTTCTACTATTCTTGAAAGGTTCGAGTGAAAGCGATTCTAGAGGCGCTCTTACCCAAGTTTTTCCAGGTAACATAAGTTGTCGTGAAATTTGTTCTGGGAAGATTCTAACGGCGATTCGTAAATATCGCCGTCTACCTTGCGGGTGGCTAAACGAAAGAGGGATGTCAAGGAGGTTTCAGGTTGGCGGGGAAGCTCCGAGACATTTTTCAAAACCAGGCTTTTTTACAGACGTGTGAGTTCAAAAATATACAGCGTTGTAATTGCCGGGTTCTTGCCGGTTTCTAATCACCTTGGATACCATCGCTTCATAGTGCAGGGCGGTACGACGGAAAGTTGGACAACATCTCAATTCTGACTTGGGCTCGGGTCGAGAGGCTTTTCTCGTCCATGTCACAGCTTACTTCAGGAGACAGTAATCACTTCGAAGGAGCAATTTCTGGGCGGGTGCAATGAAAGAGACGTCCAGTTTCATTGCATGAGGTTCGGCTCGACCCTTTTCGAAGAGTGTGGGCTGACATGTCAAGTTGAAGACAGACCAGCAGGAAAATTCTTCCGTCTGATCGACGTGTCACTTCGAATTTCCCAGGCGCTTTGTGTAGGGATTCACCAAGGAAGCACCTTCATTATCCAAAAGTTTCGCGACTCACAGCTCCCTCAGGCTGAGTTCACATAGACATCCAAATCTCACTTCTGAAATCTGGAGCTGTAGGCTTCCACATTGGAGCGCTGGCGATGTGGAAGACTCTACGATACGTGAGGCGTCGTTCTTATTCAGCTCCTTTACATTGGCCTAAGCAGCTCTCCTGCTCAAGAGAAGCAGGTTCGAAGGAGGGATTCGAGGCTGGGTGCTGACGGTACGCGAAACCATTCTTTTCCATATTGCAGCTAGAGAGTAAGAATAAGGAGATAAATGAGTGGTACCAATAGGAAGAGTGCCTTCTTGGGCATGACTATTCACATTATCGATCACACCTCCTCGGAGTATGAGCAAGAATTTTGAGCTTGAATACTAACAGAACTAAACAGAAAATACTGACAGAACTTCATCCAACCTAATAGTAAGTATTATCAATATTTATAAGGTGTTAGCCCTTTGCAAAAAGAACATTGGTCCTATAGGACATACGACAACAATCTGGAAGAGATTGTGTCTCGACTTGAAAAAAAGCCGCCCTCTTCGACTCGGGAATGCCATATGGATTAAGCACCAGTGAAAGCTTTATCCTTCATTCTCTACAGAAAGGTAATATATCCTCAAATGTATTCTTACCTTCAATCCAACGAGCTATTTGCTTTCCAGACCATGATTCCACATACTGTTGAAAGGATATTATTGGGATATTCGAAGGAATGTTTTGCGAAAGTGACGAAAACATCTCCCTCCCCTCCCGATGACTCGAAACCACTAGTTGTTTCATTAGAAATACGATAGTTCTAGCATTGTACAAGTACTGGGAGCATGCGTCCCTGGATGCCTGAAGATATGTTACTGAACAGGATAACTTCTGAAAATGATGACGGTTGCTCTATTCAGTCTCAGCTAGACTTGCTTTATCAATAATAAAAGAAAGCAACTAGGAAAACGAAGAAGAAAAACTTGGGAAAGCCGCAACTGAGCCAATAATTAAAGGGCCTACCTCTGTTGCTGCTGGAGCGCATTGTTGACGCAATGGACAACATTGGCGGAAGGACGGGAAGGTCATCTGTTTTTCACGGACTAATTTGTTTAAGTGAGTGTACGCTTCCTAAGTACTGACGTCCAGATACCCTAAAATCTATTGCTCAGTTTAAGGAATCGCATGGAAGAAGACAACGCTCATGACATCTTCAAATGGCTGATCACACTATCAGGATCAAAGAAGGCGATCATCCCGGTGACATTCCGAGAGGAAACCTTCAATGCAGAGGTATGGATTTTCGGTCTATTCTTTGCGAAAGTTTCGCCTCAACTTTCCCCCTTCATAATCATGTGGGAGGAAACAGTTGAAAAACTGATCAAGATTTGGCACTCTCGATAGATTCGTGGTAGCAAGCGGTTGATTCCACAATTTAGAAAAATTTCGATCGTGTTCCTTGAAGCAGTAGCAAACTTCCCCCAGAAAACAGCGATGTGGTTAACACATTTTGAACTACGGGCAATCATGGGGTGTCGTCATTTCGATTTACTAAACATTCGCTATAATTTGCTTCTGGAGAAGTTAGATGACTTTGAATATCTATACATTACCGTGTCTTAATCGTGGCGGTGAACAAAAGACCCAGAACAAACCCAAAATAGCGTGTAAGCGCTTTCAGCGTAACTATTTAACATCGAGCCAACACGTACTACTTAGCAGTAACTTGTTTTTCACGCACTCAAAACGCATTGTCAGCGTTTTGAGCGTACGGCAGCGTCTTTCAGTATGAGGTGCCATGCCGCCAGACCCGTTCTCTGCCAGTTGTTGAAGCGGGTATGCGACAACAATTGGTGGAAAACGGTGATACGAACGATATGACATCTCAAAGCAGCTTCAACAACTGATGGAGGACGGGTTGGCATAGCATCAAACCCATCCTGCCTGATGTCCGTTCCTCTGCGGCGAACTAGACTATATCCTTCTACCGTTTTGAGCGTATGCCAGCGTTTTCACCGATTGCCTTCGAAACGCTGACATACGCTTAAATCACTAGATCGATACCATACTTTCCTGGTAGCATGAAGCGCTGCCGTACGCTCGGAACACTAACACAGAGTAGGAAAGTTGCTTCAAGATGTCCACAGGTATATGATTTCATTCGTATTGACATATTCAAAACAGTTACTTTTTACTGAAAACTTGTCACCTGGGCTCGGTCACTCTATGGATGTTCTCTTGTTGTTCGGAAGCAGCTCCTCAACTACATACTTCGACGTCTGCTTGGTTTGGTGAAAAAAAAACGCTTTTTGATTCATTACGTTCATCCTCTCGGAATTTTATTCGTCTTGGCCGTGTCAGGCTCATCTTTGAGCATAATCACACCAAACATTTGCGTGCCCCAAACATTATCCCGCTTCTGCTCGTCTCTCTCATAACTAGACAAAAAGGAGAAAAAAAAAGAAATAGTGTGACGGTGAGGGAATTAGTAGGTGTAGTTGATGGAACTTAATAGAAAAAAATAAGTGGTCTCTTTCGCCTATAAATTAGGAGCTTTGAAAATTGAGAGCTCCTAGGACTTCATGGAGACAGCTGGCTGCAGGGCTCCAAATTTGGGAGTGTCTTATATCTTTTGCCTGCATTTCATCACTTACAGTTGATTCTATATGGAAACATGCTGAGCCTTGCCTCTACGGATGACGCCCAAGTACCGCTTGTATTTGTGATCGAAGGAGCTTCCGTGCAGAGACTGGATTCGGAGGTATGTTTATACTGCTTGCTTGTGGTCTGTTTTGACCTCGTTTCAAGCTTTATTTTTCCTATGTAAGTGAGAACTGACCTGTCCTCGATCGGCTCCCGCTTAGGGAAACTAGGTCTTAGAACCCTTCGATATCAGTGAGTTGGTGTCATAATGGACTGTGTTGTATTGAAACTTGGACTCTTATGTCGGCTGTCCCTCGCAAGTCAGTTCATAGACCGCATTACATTTAAGAAGTCACTATGATCCTGAATGAAAGTATACTTCACATCCCAGCGGAGAAAAGAGCGTGGCTACGTACTTTACTCGAACATGGTGTAGGATGTGTTTTTCGTGGGATTCATTTGCTACAAGTGTAATCCCCTCTTGATCCAAACAAAGTCATGTTTGCAACTGTACTGAAACTGCAGTGTCCCTCCAAAGGCGCACTCGCCACCACGTTCGAACGAACTACGAAGCCACCGGCAGTCCAGTTCTAGGATAGGGGTGTGGATTTGCTACCTGCTTAAAACGAATTGACCAACAACGAAGACTTGATCCTTGACCTTTATCAGTCGGCTCGCTGCGGTTACCTTCTTCCACATGTTTGTATACCCAACTGATATGCGGCTTTTCTTTTATCTGAACAGATAACCAACGCTCCTTGACCAATAACATCATACCTGCTATTTTCAACACTATTACTGTGCATGACATTATGGTAAGGAGCATTGATGAAGTGCAGAGATGACAGAAAGCCGGGTATCAGTCGTGCATTTGAACGTACGAAAGCAGGTAGGGTAGACGAAGCCACGCCCGCCCGGCAAGGCCGGCCGTATCACAGAGGAGGCGCGCCGGCGTCAGCCGGCGAGCCGACTGGTATCGAATGCATTTACGACGACCGGTGGTTAAGTGCATGGCTGCCGATGCACTGAAGCTCAGTAAAAGTAGGCAGCTCGTGCTTGAAGGCACGCACAGCCCACTTTGGACGGGTCTCTATACACCACAGACACAACCTCCGCCCACTCCATGCACGCTTCCCCCACAGCGGATGTGCCTCGCACTTCTCAATCGGTGACACATCATTGACAGTAACCCACTTTTTCCCCAGTGTCCTTACTGATCTGGAAGCGTTTAACGAATTTTATAGGTCGGCTCCGCACTCGTGCCGCTCCGCCCACAACGGATGTGCCTCGCACTTCTCAACGGTGACCCATCATTGACATTAACCCACTTTTTTCCGGTGTCTGGAGTGTTCCGGAAGCGTTTAACGAATCTTTTTGCTGGCTCCGCCCACTCCATGCACGCTCCACCCATAACAGTGTATCTTGCTCTTCTCAAAGTGGACCACTCGGGACCATAATCCACTTTCGCGTCGTCTGTAGTGTTCTAGGACCAAACTACGATTTTTTTAATAATACCTCACGTTTGAGGTCACGCCCCTCCCACTGTGGCGGGTCACAGCACACCGCAGATATGACGGACTCTCGCCAGATGTTTGTCTTCGCCATGGACTTTTTTGCAATCTCTAAACTCTCTCGGGGACCGAGTTACCGACATTTGTTTGAAGCACCGCTCATCCCGAGTACGTCCTGCCCACTTCGAGTGTGCCTCCTCCACTTGATGGGTCAACCCTTTGCTAGCCTTAATCCTTTTTCCCCATCTCGTGACTGCTCTGAGCCGAATTATGAGCTTTTTCAGTGACACGGAGGGCACCGCC